AGCAGTTAGCAGGTTTAACCCTCAGAGACCACCAGGGGTTCATGTTGAGGCATTTTCAGTTTTTTTTTTTTTTTGCCATAGACACTGTCAGCACAATCTGCAGTTACACTAACAAAAATGCTGCAAAAAACAAAGAATTATGGAAAAATTACACATGGACTGACATAGAGGAGGATCTACACAAGTTTTTTACATCATGTTTTACATCATGCATCATTTACATCATGTTTTTTTGTAGTGGCATAAATGAAAAGTGACATTTGTGAGACTATACAGTGTTTTGTAAATAATTTTACAAAGAACGCCTGGGACATTGCCTGCATTTTGATGTAAATAGAGGTAAATTACTATGTTCTTTGTTAAAAATTTGCATATGTTTTGAAGTTTACAATTTTTATTTGAAGTTTAAGTTTTAAAAACAGTTCATCACACATATTTGTGGTTTAATTTCACATTAATTTCCATATTGTATAAATGACTGGAAAAAACTTGAGCCCCTGCCCCTGTATAATCATGTGCACGTCCCTGTTCTAGCTCCAAGGTGAATCTTCACTGCTCATGTTCTCCTCAGAAATAGTCACCTCACTCCCCTCAGGTTACTGTACACATGCACCAACTATCTGCTTCAGGTTTGGATGGAGCTTCATGGTTGTCTTTTGGAGAAATGAACAGTCAAGTTGTGTTTGAAATCTGATTTTTTTCAGGGGCAAAAGGAAGCCTCTGCATTCTTGTCAAATATGTAAACAGCATGTTTTTGTAGGTGCTAAAAAACAGACTCTGAGTGTGTGTGTGTGTGTGTGTGTGTGTGTGTGTGTGTGTATATATATGTGTGTGTATCCTGCAGTACTCTGTACTCCTGCAGTGGCCAAAAAGACTTTTAAGAATGTGGATTTTTGGGTCATCTTTGGCGCCCCCTAGAACTGCAGTACTCTGTACTCCTGCAGTGGCCAAAATAACTTTTAAGAATGTGGATTTTTGGGTCATCTTTGGCGCCCCCTAGAACGTAAACCGTGGGGTGCAGCGTCATGATTTTTACAACTTTGAATGGGCATGGGGTGTAGATTGCCCTGAGCAAATTTGGTATCGGTGGGACGAAAGCCTTAGGAGGAGATAGCCACATTCCAATGTGTGCGAATCGGCAAAAAATGCAAAATAGCCCTTTAACCGTACATTATACAGATACGCGCTTTTTGACTTTTTCGTAGATCTAATTGAGATACACATGATTGTCAATTTTTGTGTCAATATGACAAAGCGTTCAGGCGTGACACTCAACAATGTGTATTTTCATGTAGAGGACAAGAAAAAATTGACTTTTTTCTCCTGCCATGGGGGGGCGCTCTTTTGGGGAGTAAAAATTCCTTCACAAATGTGTTGATGGCTGGACATTGCATCATCCTAGAAAACTTGGAGGGCAGTGAGGACAAAAATAAAAAGTTATAAGACTTTTAAGAATGTGGATTTTGGGTTATCTTTGGCGCCCCCTAGAACGTAAACCGTGGGGTGCAGCGTCATGATTTGTACAACTTTTAATGGCCATGGGGGGTAGATTGGCCTGCGCAAATGTGGTGCCGGTCGAACGAAAGCCTTCGGAGGAGTTAGCGAAATTCCAATGTGTGCAGATCTGCAAAAAATGCGAAATAACCCATTAACCGTACATTTGACAGATACGCCCGCACTGACTTTTTTGTAGATCTTATTGAGATACATGTGTGTGTCAATTTTTGTGTCAATATGACAAAGCGTACAGCCGTCATGTGAATTTTCACCTTAGGGGGCGCTATGGAGCCATTTTGCATTTTATTGTTTGGGCGACTTCAGAATATCGAATTTTTCACCAGGCCCGGTCGTCCTGCCAAATTTCCTGAGTTTTCGCCAGTGGGAAGTGGGCCATTTTCCAGTTTAAAGCGGAGGAAAAATAATAACGAAAGAAGGAAACATGCAGGAACAAGAGGGCTCTCGCAGCTGCTTAGCAGCTACGCTCGGGCCCTAACTAGGACCCCGTTGGGGCACTGTCGGGCCCGAGCCGTGTCGCGCCGCCCCCAGTGCGACCGCCTCCCCCTCCCGATCGCGTCACACTCAAGATCCAAAGATGGTGTGCGCACTTGTCTGTGGTCATTTCCTATTATAATGAATGGGAGGCGCAGTTTCTACCAAAACACTCGCTGCAGACAAACTTCATGTCCTATTTGAAAAAAGTCTGGACCATGAGTGAGGGCACAAACACAGCTATGATATATCGAAATGGCAGGTTGCTCCTCCTTACGGTGTTGCCTGGAGAGCGATGCGATTGAGCCATTGAGCGATGGGCAGGAAAAACTTAACTTTTTCTCCTGACATATGGGGGGGGGGGGGGGGGATGTGGATTCTTTGAAGAATGTGGATTTTTGGGTCATCTTTGGCGCCTCCTAGAACGTAAACCGTGGGGTGCAGCGTCATGATTTTTACAACTTTGAATGGCCATGGGGTGTAGATTGGCCTGAGCAAATTTGGTGTCAGTGGGACGAAAGCCTTAGGAGGAGTTAGCCACATTCCAATGTGTGCGAATCGGCAAAAAATGCAAAATAGCCCTTTAACCGTACATTTGACAGATACGCGCGAATCGACTCTTTTGTAGATCTTATTGAGATACATATGTGTGTCAATTTTTGTGTCAATATGATAAAGCGTACAGGCGTGACAGTCAATAGTGTGAATTTCCACCTTAGGGGACAAGAAAAAATTGGCTTTTTTTTCCTGCCATGGGGGGGCGCTCTTTTGGGGAGTAAAAATTCCTTCACAAATGTGTTGATGGCTGGACATTGCATCATCCTAGAAAACTTGGAGGCCAGTGAGGGCAAAAATAAAAAGTTATAAGACTTTTAAATATGTGGATTTTAGGGTTATCTTTGGCGCCCCCTAGAACCTAAACCGTGGGATGCAGCGTCATGATTTGAATAACTTTTAATGGCCATGGGGTGTAGATTGGCCTGAGCAAATGTGGTACCGGTGGAATGAAAGCCTTCGGAGGAGTTAGCGAAATTCCAATGTGTGCGGATCGGCAAAAAATGCGGAATAACCCTTTAACCGTACATTTGACAGATTCGCGCGCATTGACTTTTTCGTAGATCTTATTGAGATACATGTGTGTGTCAATTTTTGTGTCATTTTGCCAAAGCGTACAGGTGTTACACTCAACAATGTGTGTTTTCACCTTAGGGGACAAGAAAAAATGGACTTTTTTCTCCTGCCATGGGGGGGCGCTCTTTTGGGGAGTAAAAATTCCTTCACAAATGTGTTGATGGCTGGACATTGCATCATCCTAGAAAACTTGGAGGCCAGTGAGGGCAAAAATAAAAAGTTATAAGACTTTTAAATATGTGGATCTTAGGGTTATCTTTGGCGCCCCCTAGAACCTAAACCGTGGGGTGCAGCGTCATGATTTGAATAACTTTTAATGGCCATGGGGTGTAGATTGGCCTGAGCAAATGTGGTGCCGGTGGAACGAAAGCCTTCGGAGGAGTTAGCGAAATTCCAATGTGTGCGGATCGGCAAAAAATGCGAAATAACTATTTAACCGTACATTTGACAGATACGCCCGCACTGACTTTTTTGTAGATCTTATTGAGATACATGTGTGTGTCAATTTTTGTGTCATTTTGACAAAGCGTACCGGCGTGACAGTGAATAGTGTGAATTTTCACCTTAGGGGGCGCTATGGAGCCATTTTGCATTTTCTTGTTTGGGCGACTTCGGAATATCAAATTTTTCACCAGGCCCGGTCGTCCTGCCAAATTTCATGAGTTTTCGCCAGTGGGAAGTGGGCCATTTTCCAGTTCAAAGGGGAGGAAAAATAATAATAACAAAAGAAGGAAACTACAGGAACAAGAGGGCTCTCGCAGCTGCTTAGCAGCTACGCTCGGGCCCTAACTAGGACCCCGTTGGGGCACTGGCGGGCCCGAGCCGTGTCGCGTCCCCCCCCAACGCGCTGCCTCCCCGTCCCATTTGTGTCCTCTGGCCATCGCCCTCTTTGGTAACGCCCATCACTGCAAAGACCCTTTTCCTTCATCGGCGTTTGCTGTTCTTCCTGCCAGTGCATGTTGCTTTCACTTACACTTGCCACAGCCAGCCTCGTGAGTGCCTAGCCTATTGGATATCACTGTCACCTACACAGGACAGTCATTACCTTTCTATTAATACTTTGTTTTTTAATTTCACATTAATTTCCAAATTGTATAAACGACTGGAAAAAACTTGAGCCCCTGCCCCTGTATAATCATGTGCACGTCTCTGTTCTAGCTCTAAGGTAAATCTTCACTGCTCATGTTCTCCTCAGAAGCAGTCACCTCACTCCCCTCAGGTTACTGTACACATGCACCAACTGCCTGCTTCAGGTTTGGATGGAGCTTCATGGTTGTCTTTTGGAGAAATGACCAGTCAAGTTGTGTTTGAAATTTGATTTTTTTCAGGGGCAAAAGGAGCCTCTGCATTCTTGTCAAATATGTAAATAGCATGTTTTTGCAGGTGCTACAAACCAGACTCTGAGTGTGTGTGTGTGCGTGTGTGTGTGTCTGTGTGTGTGTGTGTGTGTGCGTTCAAGTCACATGACATATTTAACCGGATGTAGCTGCAAGACGGAGCCTCGTTGACTCTCCGTTTCAATTTATCTCAAAAGTGAGGACCTCAACCTATATACCAGTTTTTAAATTGTGTTGATAGGCCAAATAAAACCAGAGTTATGATAAATTATGTCCGCGATACTTGTTTTCTGCTTATTTTGATCACATTCGGCGCTCGATCGCGCTGTATGAGACAGGAAAACATAGCATGCAGACATTAGCGACAGGTCTTTCAGGCGGAAAAGGCTTGCCAAAGGAAAAAAAATACACACCACAACATCTCTCCTATTGGTGGAAAACTTCACCACAACAACCAATCCAAAATTATATGGTGACTGATTGACAAGGGGCGGGAACTTACGTTCTTCCTGCAATATGAGAAGGGAGGGAGGGACTCTCAGCAGGGATGCAGTCTGGGACACGTAGTTGCAAACCTAGCGACTTTGTTGTTAGATTCAATGACTTTTCAGACCCCCTAACAACTTTTTTTAGAAAGAAAGGGACTTTTATCGACTTCTTCTGGAGTTTAGAGACTCTGACATGAAGCAGGCTTTCCTTACTGAGGAGTTAGCAACGCTGCTAAGGGTGCAGAGCCACACATGCGCTCCGAGCTCTGCATGGGAGACTGAAGCTGACAGAGCTGCAGCAGTTAGCAGGTTTCACCCTCAGAGACCACCAGGGGTTCATGTTGAGGCATTTTCAGTTTTTTTTTTTTTTTTTGCCATAGACACTGTCAGCACAATCTGCAGTTACACTAACAAAAATGCTGCAAAAAACAAAGAATTATGGAAAAATTACACATGGACTAACATAGAGGAGGATCTACACAAGTTTTTTACATCATGTTTTACATCATGCATCATTTACATCATGTTTTTTTGTAGTGGCATAAATAAAAAGTGACATTTGTGAGACTATACAGTGTTTTGTAAATAATTTTACAAAGAACACCTGGGCCATTGCCTGCATTTTGATGTCAATAGAGGTAAATTACTATGTTCTTTGTTAAAAATTTGCATATGTTTTGAAGTTTACAATTTTTATTTGAAGTTTAAGTTTTAAAAACAGTTCATCACACATATTTGTGGTTTTCACAGTAAAAACGTTACTTTTTTTTCCTCGGATTTTATGTTTTGTGTGTGAATTTGGGTCCAATGTGTAAATATAGTATGTCAAAATGGTAAAATAACTGTAAATTGACACAGGTGAGGTTGTGCTGAAAAAAATGATACCAGGCAAGGCAAGGTAAAAATTTTGTAAGAGGAAATATAAAGGTAAAATCTAAAGTAGTCAAAAACGGCCAATAGTGACTCACAGACTCCACAGACAAGTCCCTTTGGCGCCACTCAGTGGGCAAAACTACTTTGTCTACTGTAATGTATATTTGGGTCATCTTTGGCGCCCCCTAAAACGTAAACCGTGGGGTGCAGCGTCATGATTTTTACAACTTTGAATGGCCATGGAGTGTAGATTGGCCTGAGCAAATTTGGTGTCAGTGGGACGAAAGCCTTAGGAGGAGTTAGCGAAATTCCAATGTGTGCGAATCGGCAAAAAATGCAAAATAGCCCTTTTACCGTACATTATACAGATACGCGCTCTTTGACTTTTTCGTAGATCTAATTGAGATACACATGATTGTCAATTTTTGTGTCAATATGACAAAGCGTTCAGGCGTGACACTCAACAATGTGTATTTTCACCTTAGGGGACAAGAAAAAATGGACTTTTTTCTCCTGCCATGGGGGGGCGCTCTTTTAGGGAGTAAAAATTCCTTCACAAATGTGTTGATGGCTGGACATTGCATCATCCTAGAAAACTTGGAGGCCAGTGAGGACAAAAATAAAAAGTTATAAGACTTTTAAAAATGTGGATTTTTGGGTTATCTTTGGCGCCCCCTAGAACGTAAACCGTGGGGTGCAGCGTCATGATTTGAATAACTTTTAATGGCCATGGGGTGTAGATTGGCCTGAGCAAATGTGGTGCCGGTGGAACGAAAGCCTTCGGAGGAGTTAGCGAAATTCAAATGTGTGCGGATCGGCAAAAAATGCGAAATAACCCTTTAACCGTACATTTGACAGATACGCCCGCACTGACTTTTTTGTAGATCTTATTGAGATACATGTGTGTGTCAAATTTTGTGTCATTTTGACAAAGCGTACAGGCGTGACACTCAATAGTGTGAATTTTCACCTTAGGGGGCGCTATGGAGCCATTTTGCATTTTATTGTTTGGGCGACTTCGGAATATCAAATTTTTCACCAGGCCCGGTCGTCCTGCCAAATTTCATGAGTTTTCGCCAGTGGGAAGTGGGCCATTTTCCAGTTCAAAGGGGAGGAAAAAGAAAAAAGAAACAAAGAACTAGGACCCCGTTGGGGCACTGGCGGGCCCGAGCTGTGTCGCGTCCCCCCCCCAACGCGCTGCCTCCCCGTCCCATTTGTGTCCTCTGGCCATCGCCCTCTCTGGTAACGCCCATCACTGCAAAGACCCTTTTCCTTCATCGGCGTTTGCTGTTCTTCCTGCCAGTGCGTGTTGCTTTCACTTACACTTGCCACAGCCAGCCTCGTGAGTGCCTAGCCTATTGGATATCACTGTCACCTACACAGGACAGTCATTACCTTTCTATTAATACTTTGTGTTTTAATTTCACATTAATTTCCATATTGTATAAACGACTGGAAAAAACTTGAGCCCCTGCCCCTGTATAATCATGTGCATGTCTCTGTTCTAGCTCCAAGGTGAATCTTCACTGCTCATGTTCTCCTCAGAAGCAGTCACCTCACTCCCCTCAGGTTACTGTACACATGCACCAACTGCCTGCTTCAGGTTTGGATGGAGCTTCATGGTTGTCTTTTGGAGAAATGACCAGTCAAGTTGTGTTTGAAATTTGATTTTTTTCAGGGGCAAAAGGAGCCTCTGCATTCTTGTCAAATATGTAAATAGCATGTTTTTGCAGGTGCTAAAAACCAGACTCTGAGTGTGTGTGTGTGTGTGTTTGTGTGCGTGTGTGTGTCTGTGTGTGCGTTCAAGTCACATGACATATTTAACCGGATGTAGCTGCAAGACGGAGCCTCGTTGACTCTCCGTTTCAACTTATCTCAAAAGTGAGGACCTCAACCTATATACCAGTTTTTAAATTGTGTTGATAGGCCAAATAAAACCAGAGTTATGATAAATTATGTCCGCGATACTTTTTTTCTGCTTATTTTGATCACGTTCGGCGCTCGATCGCGCTGTATGAGACAGGAAAACATAGCATGCAGACATTAGCGACAGGTCTTACAGGCGGAAAAGGCTTGCCAAAAGAAAAAAAAACACACCACAACATCTCTCCTATTGGTGGAAAACTTCACCACAACAACCAATCCAAAATTATATGGTGGTTGATTGACAAGGGGCGGGCGCTTACGTTCTTCCTGCAACATGAGAAGGGAGGGAGGGACTCTCAGCAGGGATGCAGTCTGGGACACGTAGTTGCAAACCTAGCGACTTTGTTGTTAGATTCAATGACTTTTCAGACCCCCCAACGACTTTTTTTTAGAAAGAAAGGGACTTTTATCGACTTCTTCTGGAGTTTAGAGACTCTGACATGAAGCAGGCTTTCCTTACTGAGGAGTTAGCAACGCTGCTAAGGGTGCAGAGCCACACATGCGCTCAGAGCTCTGCATGGGAGACTGAAGCTGACAGAGCTGCAGCAGTTAGCAGGTTTCACCCTCAGAGACCACCAGGGGTTCATGTTGAGGCATTTTAATTTTTTTTTTTTTTTGTGCCATAGACACTGTCAGCACAATCTGCAGTTACACTAACAAAAATGCTGCAAGAAACAAAGAATTATGGAAAAATTACACATGGACTGACATAGAGGAGGATCTACACAAGTTTTTTACATCATGTTTTACATCATGCATCATTTACATCATGTTTTTTTGTAGTGGCATAAATAAAAAGTGACATTTGTGAGACTATACAGTGTTTTGTAAATAATTTTACAAAGAACGCCTGGGCCATTGCCTGCATTTTGATGTAAATAGAGGTAAATTACTATGTTCTTTGTTAAAAATTTGCATATGTTTTGAAGTTTACAATTTTTATTTGAAGTTTAAGTTTTAAAAACAGTTCATCACACATATTTGTGGTTTAATTTCACATTAATTTCCATATTGTATAAATGACTGGAAAAAACTTGAGCCCCTGCCCCTGTATAATCATGTGCACGTCCCTGTTCTAGCTCCAAGGTGAATCTTCACTGCTCATGTTCTCCTCAGAAATAGTCACCTCACTCCCCTCAGGTTACTGTACACATGCACCAACTATCTGCTTCAGGTTTGAAATGGAGCTTCATGGTTGTCTTTTGGAGAAATGAACAGTCAAGTTGTGTTTGAAATTTGATTTTTTTCAGGGGCAAAAGGAAGCCTCTGCATTCTTGTCAAATATGTAAACAGCATGTTTTTGCAGGTGCTAAAAAACAGACTCTGAGTGTGTGTGTGTGTCTGTGTGTGTGTGTGTGTGTGTGTGTGTGTGTGTGTGTGTGTGTGTATGTTGGCGTGTGTGTATATGTGTGTGTATCCTGCAGTACTCTGTACTCCTGCAGTGGCCAAAAAGACTTTTAAGAATGTGGATTTTTGGGTCATCTTTGGCGCCCCCTAGAACTGCAGTACTCTGTTCTCCTGCAGTGGCCAAAATGACTTTTAAGAATGTGGATTTTTGGGTCATCTTTGGCGCCCCCTAGAACGTAAACCGTGGGGTGCAGCGTCATGATTTTTACAACTTTGAATGGGCATGGGGTGTAGATTGCCCTGAGCAAATTTGGTATCGGTGGGACGAAAGCCTTAGGAGGAGATAGCCACATTCCAATGTGTGCGAATCGGCAAAAAATGCAAAATAGCCCTTTAACCGTACATTATACAGATACGCGCTCTTTGACTTTTTCGTAGATCTAATTGAGATACACATGATTGTCAATTTTTGTGTCAATATGACAAAGCGTTCAGGTGTGACACTCAACAATGTGTATTTTTATGTAAGGGGACAAGAAAAAATTGACTTTTTTCTCCTACCATGGGGGGGCGCTCTTTTGGGGAGTAAAAATTCCTTCACAAATGTGTTGATGGCTGGACATTGCATCATCCTAGAAAACTTGGAGGCCAGTGAGGACAAAAATAAAAAGTTATAAAACATTTAAGAATGTGGATTTTTGGGTTATTTTTGGCGCCCCCTAGAACCTAAACCATGGGGTGCAGCATCATGATTTGAATAACTTTTAATGGCCATGGGGTGTAGATTGGCCTGAGCAAATGTGGTGCCGGTGGAACGAAAGCCTTCGGAGGAGTTAGCGAAATTCCAATGTGTGCGAATCGGCAAAAAATGCGGAATAACCCTTTAACTGTACATTTGACAGATACGCGCGCATGGACTTTTTTGTAGATCTTATTGAGTTACATGTGTGTGTCAATTTTTGTGTCATTTTGACAAAGCGTATAGGCGTGACACTCAACAATGTGTATTTTCACCTTAGGGGACAAGAAAAAATGGACTTTTTTCTCCTGCCATGGGGGGGCGCTCTTTTGGGGAGTAAAAATTCCTTCACAAATGTGTTGATGGCTGGACATTGCATCATCCTAGAAAACTTGGAGGCCAGTGAGGACAAAAATAAAAAGTTATAAGACTTTTAAATATGTGGATTTTAGTGTTATCTTTGGCGCCCCCTAGAACCTAAACCTTGGGGTGCAGCGTCATGATTTTGATAACTTTTAATGGCCACGGGGTGTAGATTGGCCTGAGCAAATGTGGTGCCGGTGGAACGAAAGCCTTCGGAGGAGTTAGCGAAATTCCAATGTGTGCGGATCGGCAAAAAATGCGAAATAACCCTTTAACCGTAATTTTGACAGATACGGCCGCACTGACTTTTTTGTAGATCTTATTGAGATACATATGTGTGTCAATTTTTGTGTCAATATGACAAAGCGTACAGGCGTGACAGTCAATAGTGTGAATTTCCACCTTAGGGGGCGCTATGGAGCCATTTTGCATTTTCTTGTTTGGGCGACTTCAGAATATCGAATTTTTCACCAGGCCCGGTCGTCCTGCCAAATTTCATGAGTTTTCGCCAGTGGGAAGTGGGCCATTTTCCAGTTCAAAGGGGAGGAAAAAGAAGAAAGAAAGAAACAAAGAAAAACCCCTACAGGAATAACAGGGCCTACGCCCGGCTGCTCTGCAGCTGGCTCGGGCCCTAAAAACCCCTTGGGGAATAATAGGGCTCTCGCAGCTGCTTAGCAGCTACGCTCGGGCCCTAACTAGGGCCCCGTTGGGGCACTGGCGGGCCCGAGCCGAGTTGCGCCGCCCCCAGTGCGACCGCCTCCCCC